TTTTGAAAGCTCTTGAATTTTTGATCCTTGGCTAATTTTGGTAATCGTAATATTACGGAAGGTTATTCAATCACCAGAACACCGATATTTGAAAATATTACTTTTGATTTTTAGAAAATTCGCATGTCTACTTTCTTGCAATCGATTGATTTTTGTATGTGACATATGATTTTAACTGGTTATTCATTACCGTCATGTATTTTAGATGGAATTAAAATTGATATTCCTTTTAATCAATGGAGTAGAGAAGAGAAAATCAATGCTCAATTGAATGCAAAATCTTTAAAACTATTTTTTTTATGCTTTAAATTATGAAGATTGTATGTTAATTTTCACGTGCACTACTGGTAAGAAAATTTGGGATAAATTACACACCATATATAAAGGCACTAGTTAAATCAAGCAATCCAAGTTGAATATTTTAATGCGTGATTATGAACTATTTTGCATGAAACCTTATGAGATGATCTTAGACATGTATACTAGATTTATTCAAATTGTGACATCATTACATACTTTAGGAAAGGAGTTTTCAAACTTTGAAAAAGTTAATAAAATTCTTCGTTGTTTATTTGATAAGTTTGATGCTAAAGTTGTTGCTATTTGTGAATTAAAAAAATTGAATGAGTATTCTATTGATAATTTGATTGGCTCACTCATTGCCTACGAACAAAGTTTAGGTCAAAGACTTTTGGATGCAGGTGAAACGATAATGTTAAAAGCTGAAGATATGGAAAAAAGTAGATTAGTTGGTGACGAAAGTAATGACTTGACAAGCAAATAAAAAAACCCACCAAAAGCATAAGCATCAATATAAGTAGAATAAAGGTAAAAATGATAAGAATGTTAATATTTCTTCTAACGTTATTAGCTTTGGATGTAGGAAGCCTGCACATATGAAAAATCAGTGCCCTAATTTGAGAATTCTTACTGCAAAAGAAAAGGGTAAAGCAAAGTAAATTATAAACTGGGAAAATAATGAAAAGAAAAGAATTTCTTGGGCAGACCTTGCTTCTGAATCTTCTGATCAGAATCAAGATGATGCTTAAACCTTTGTTTGTATGTTTATGTTTGCATGTTTTGTTTGTTCTTTTGTTTTTATGATTTTTTTTTCCTTTCTTTTCTTTTTTCGTTAAATTTTTTATGTGTCATTTCTGATCTACCACACACGTCACATTTCTAAAAGTGAAAAAGCTACCTCCTATTTTTTCTTGAATTCTTATGAAAATTGTGTTTGACTTCTCTAAAAGTGAAAAACCTACCTCTTATTTTAAATTAGTTTTTGAAACTAAATTTTTTTATCTCCCTACATTTTATCTATCGCATAGGGTTCTTTTGCAAGTTGTTGAATCTAACTCATAATTTTCTTAATCAAGAAATTCACTTTGTCAATAGGATGGGTTTACTTTTGTTTTTAAGATTTCAAAAAATGTAGCATATTCAAAAAAAAATTGGCCAATGATGCCAAAAATAAAGATGAGCAAAGACGTCAAATTGAAAAAAAAGGGAATACACAAACTATATCAAAAATCAAAAGATACGTAGTGCACCAACCAATTATCAAGAGGCATAAAATGAGCCCATAAAATTTAATGCTTACCATTCTTATATTTCTTAAAGCTTAAGAAAACCCTTGATACTTTAGATACTTGATTTTGAAAATCATGATTCCTGATTCAACAATTCTTGCATTAATCTTCTATTAAATATATTTAATGAAAGGAGTTTTAAAAAATGATTGTTTCTTTCTCTAATTTATTCCTTGATTTAGATAGTAAATTAAAAAGTTTTTTAGCCTTTTTAAAAAACTTGAGTTTGGATTATCAAATTCTGAATTTATAACCTTTTTTGGGCTATGCGTTGTCAATACAATTCTACTAATTTTTTGATTAAAATAAGAGATAACTTTCTCATTTTAAGAATATTTATTTTATTTACTAGATCAGGGATCGTTTTTGTCTTTTAATCGTTTTGTTATTATTATTTTTTCCCCTCTCTTTTTGATAATGGCAAACGGGGAGAACGTATTATTGAATTTGTATCTTTTTTTTTTCTTCAAAAAAAAAACAACAAAATTTTTTTTATCTCCCATATTCTTAAAAGTTTTATTTTAGTGTGAGGGAGATTAGGAGAAAATGTTTTCTTCTTTGTAAATTTAAATAGCAATGTTTGTCATTATCGAAAAGGGGGAGATTGTTGCGGATATGTTTTCATGGTTTATGATTTTGATGATAGCAAACACTCTTATTTCTCTACGACTGCCTTATCAACTGACATTTCAGGTTCACAAGATCAGACTGTAATTTGGAATCATCTAAAGATTGGGTAAACTAGGTCTGAGTCAGTTTGTACCCTTTTTCCTTTTTTGAGTCTTTTGTAATTGGTGTGGATCTTGATGCTATAGGGAACAGTCAAAAAATCTTCCAAGGTGCTTGTGTGCAAAGTTACATAGCATCAGGAGCCACACCAATTACAAAAGACTCAAGAAAGGAAAAAAGGTACAAATTGACTCAGACCTAGTCTACCCAGTCTTGAGCTGATTCCAAATTGCAGTCTGATCTTGTGAACCTAAAATGTCAGTTGATAAGGAAGTCGTAGAGAAATAAGAGTGTTTGCTATCATCAAAATCATAAACCATGAAAACATATATGCAATAGTCATCTAAACACCATGGTGCCTATTTTTAACATTACAATGCTTCTCTTAAGAATTTAAGAAAAAATTAGTACCCTAGTTAGCATTGTAGCACCTCTCAGTGTCGATGCGCCAACAATAAGCAACAAAACATTAGAGTCTTAGGAAAATGAATGTTAGAGAGACAATCATTGAAATGTCATTGCATCAAATTATGCTTTCATGCTCTATGGAGAAGCGAGTATCAAAATAAAGAGCCACACTAACTTAGCCAAAATATGCACCAATTGAACCATTAGTCATGCAAGGTTAGCCCAGTGTTGCAGCAAAGTAAGTACTACAACATCGATATACTAGTTTTGTTTATACGGTTGTTGACCTCATTATTCGAGGTTAATTTCCCCGGAATCGATTCTAGCACCTAGATATTCGTAACCTAGTGTAGACGTCGTTTGATTATAGAAATATCAATTTTCAAAACCCTATTTTGATATTGAATCCATTGTTGAATATTGTATCGGCTTTTCGAGACCGTAATTTATTCTCAATGCAGTATTCGATTATAAAATAAGAGAAAATCAAAATCTGCATGGTGTGACATAATTTTTCCCACCAACGGTCACAGCGTGACCTTGTCAAACATCGCAGCGCCTAAGTCCATTTATGCACTTATATAAATTGTTTTTTAACTTGTTTTTTTGTGTGAGTTCTATTTTTTATTGGATTCTTATAATTTATAGTGTCTTTCATTAGTTTTCCCTTTGATTAAAGTGTATTGGGAGATCTTACCCTATAGTGTGTAAGTAATTCTATTATTGGAGGAAGGAGTGTGAAGAATATCAATTGATCCTTTCAGGTTTTATTTATCTTATTTATTCTCCTATATCTTTTCTTATATGAATGAAATGAACATGAGTTTACTTTTTATGTTATCTATATCTGGTTAAATCTTTGCGTTTTGGGCTAATATTGCAAATACATTGCAAGTACTAATGTAGGCTCTTATGTTTCCAATTACTTCATAGATATTTTTAATATATCTAGTTTTTTATTTAATGCATATAATGACTATACATGTAGTTAATATCTAGTGTGATGTATTGCCTCGATGGATGAATATTAGAATAAATAGGAGTATTAAAATGGAATGTTGGCATACCAAGATATATAATCTAAACCTTATAGGTTTTATAGAGATAGTATGATTGTAGGAAGGCCATAAACCTCCATTTTCACCCCTACAAGTTTGACAAAGATCTAAGGATGTATGCGTTCTTATTCATATCTAAAATTAAGATTCTCATTAAGAAAGTTATGTTGATTTACATTCATGAGTCGAAAATGCTTTATTTATATTGGTAGTAAATTTTATTGTAAGTTTTTAGTTTAAGTGGAAAAACCTCAAAAACATATATTTTTTACATTTATTATGATAAATTGTACATTTAGACTAAATAATAGTAGTTTAATTAAAATTAAGCAGAACACTTTCTCATGGGATCGAATATTCTCTCTACCACTTTATTACTTGATCGACATGTATATTTGCATATTTAGTGGGCTTTTATTATTTTTTATATCAATGAAAATCTAAGCATATTTATATTGCTTGCAAGTTCTATGTATAGTCGTCATCATTGACTATATAGCTCAAGTCCCATAAGGCCCTCCCACCTCCATTTAGTTTTTGGCAACATTGGTTGGGAAGTGACGTGCATATTGCATTCTAAACTATATTATAAAATAAGTGCATATTTAGTCCTACTTATATCATGTATCTTTTTTAATTGAGTTTGTTAAAATAAAAAAATAAAAAAAGTATTTTGTAAATTATTAGATTATAATCATTTATTTATTTTATCATTGTTGCATGCTCAGTAGATATAGTAAGAGCTTTTATTATTTGATTCTAAGATAGAAAGGACCCTTACCAAAATTTAAAAAATAAAAAAATAAAAAGATTTTTGAGATATTTGAATTAATACAAGATCATGATCATCTTAAACCTCTTAGAGAGTATGCTAAACCTATAGTAGAAAAAATCCATCAAATTATTAATAAATCTAATATCGAGGCCATTAAATTTGAACAAAAATCTATCATAAATCAGATGGTTGAAAATTCTTAGTTTGTGGGAAAACTTGTTGAGGATCCCGACTTACACTTTGATAGCTTCTTAAAAATTTATGTAATATTTAAGTATAATAGTATGAGTAATGATACTATTGGACTTTGGCTATTCCCATTTTTTTCTAAGGGACAAAGCTAAAATGTGGTTGAATTTCTTACCCCTAGGCTCTATAACTACTAGAATTGAGTTTATACACAAATTCCTTGCTAAGTATTTCCCACCTTCAAAAATTGCTAAACTTATGAATGATATCACATATTTTGCTCAATTTGAGGGAAAGTCAATTTATAAAAGTTGGGAGAGATTTAATGAAATTCTTAGGAGATGTCCTCATCATGTTTTACCCAATTGATTAGTTATTCAAACTTTTTATAATAGATTGGTAGGATCCCTTAGGTCGAACATGGATGTAGTAGCTGCAAATCTTTAATGTCTGAGCCATTTGAGGAAGCAAATGAACTGATTAAGGAAATGTTTAAGAGAGCTGTTGGTGGGTATGAATTAGATGCATTTTCTATTTTGACTATACAAATAGTTATAATTTCTAAAATGTTAGACTGAAATTACTAGATGGACAAGAGGAGGGGGTGAATTGTGAAAGATTTATAGCAATAAATAAAACCTAAACAGGAGTTCTAATATTTTTGATATTTTTAAGGTTTTAACATGAAAATAAAGTGCAACAATGAAATCCTATTCAATCATAATATTTCACCAAGCAAATATACTGAAAATGAAAAATACACATAAGAATAAAAATGATAAGGAAAAAGCACACCGGATTTTTATAGTGGTTCGGTCAAACCATGACCTACGTCTACTCCCTAGAGTCCTCCGCTCTGGACATTTCACTACAAGCAATAGCTCTCCTTTTGCCCCCCTTGGCAAGGCGGAGAAGCCCTTACAATACTCCCTTTCAACAACCCGACATCGCAGAGTGCCAAACTCTATTTTCACCCTCCTGGCGACAGCAGAGAACCTTCTCATTTTTCTTCCTCCCGGAGAAGGCAAAGTACCTCGAGGTCAAGGATGTAGAAGAGCCTTCCCCTTGGAGATCCTCTCACAAATTCTTCTACGGCCACAGGAGGAGCAAGATGCAGCAAGTTCGGAGCAACCGTGTGATCTCCCTCACACCTCTTCTCCCTCACAATGCTCACCTTCTCTTTCCTATCTCAAACCCTAAAGAACTTCTCAAGAGCTCTCTCCCTCGGAATCCCTCTCTATCCACGTTCTCCTCTCTAATTCACACAAAGAAAACATAACTATTTTTACACCTAAAAATGGGCTCCAAAATCCCTGAAATTTTAAAGTAGCTGTTACTATCATATAGTACGATTTCTAATCGTACAGTATGATATTTATACAAAACTTTGTCCATGTACGAAGATGTATGAACAGTTCAAAATCAATCATACAATATGATAATGAATCGTACGGTACGATCCTCAATATTACTGATCGTATAGGACGATAGCTGGGACGATCAAATATCATCTCTGTTCATCGTATTGTACGATACATATCGTACTGTACGAATGGTCAAAATCAAGACATCGTCCAGGATGAATTCCGGGACAATCAAGAATCGTCTTTATTCATTGTATAATACGATCTACATCATACTGTAAGGCAAGGCAAAAATAATGGATCGTCTAGGACGATCTCTGGGATGATCAGAATTTATCTTTGTTCATCGTATTGTACGAATTGGTTCGTAGAGTATGATATTCAATTTGAAATTAAGCCTTGAATCATTCAACTAATCATGGGTTAATTTAAATAAGTATTTAAAAAAAATCGTACAGTATGAAATACTTCATACAGTACGAATGGCGAAGAAAAACTTAAGTTAATTAGAAGGCCAGGGTTTTGGATTTGAACATATCGTACAGTACGATTTTTAATTGTACGGTGCGATCTATTCACAGAATCTTCCTACAAGCTCGGATCGTACGGTATGAAATAACGTCGTACAGTACGATCTACAGAGAAAGAAAATCTCCAAATTTTTCTTTTAAAAAACCCTCTCCTCCTGTGTGTGTGCATGGTTGCTCAAACTTTTATGCATTTTGTGGTCAGACTCAAGAAAATAAAAATAAAATAAATAACAAAATATATTGTCAGACTCATACTCCTAATCTACCCATTCTTGAGTCTTCATGTTGTCCTGAGTAGCTTGTGATCTTCCTAAAATGTTGGTACTCACGGATAATAGCAAACAAAATAATATTCAATGAATATATAATTCAGATGACATTATTTGTCATCATCAAAATCTCAAACTCGAGATCATGGGTTGCAACATAGACATTATTGGAGTTAGTTCAGAGTTAGGGTCATTTATGCAGTTGGAAGAGTGCGATTTAAGTTTAATTGATGATAGTAATGTAACAGGGATTGATAATGTGAATTTGATTGAAAGACAAAACAATATGCACTCTAGTACATTAAATCCAGGTTGGAGGAACCATCCATATTTTAGTTGGCTAAATAATATTGGTGGTAAGAATTAATGGAATTCAGGTCAACATGTAATAAATCCTAAACCTTCGTATCCCAGGTTTTAACCAAAGCAATCAATTCAAAGAGAGGAAATCACCTTCAAAAGTGGTTATAATTTAGTTAGGAAACCAGTATCCAAGTCAGACAGCTTAAATTAAGAATATTAAAAATAAATTAAGATGGATTGTAATATCTTTCAGTAGTAGATCTCTTGAAACTTTACCCAGTAATATTAAAATTAATCCAAAGGAGTGGTGGTGATTTATTACATCCAAAATGATTTATCTAGGCAAGTGTGACTAAAGACTATAAATTTCATGTTGTATTGGGAGGCAACCCAATTTTGTTCTCTATTTTTTTATCTTTTTATTTGTAATTTATGTTTATTTTATGTTATGTTTTATAAATTTGGTTATGTGTATATGTTGTATTGCTTATGAAATTGTTAATCTTTATTTTGACTAAGTTATGAACAAATTTCCTGAGAAAAAAATTGTTTAACTAAAAATTAAATTAGCGCCATAGCATTAGTATTTGAAGCATTAGTGTTTGCAAGCCAAACGCCACAACATACAAAAATAACATTGAAATGATAATGTCTCAATTTTTTTATTCCACTACTGCAACGCTATATTATTAAGCATCGTAGTTCTATTTTATCTTATCTAGCACCTCAATTCTACTTTTCAAGCACTATAGTGTTAATTTGTTATCTCTATAGTATTAATGGAATTATAGTCAATAAGCCATACTTTCATAACTTTTATAATATCACATTTTATTAAGCACTACAACACCATTGCTAGCACCACAATGATATGCTAAAATCATTATTATGATAGTTATAGTGCCTTGGTGGTAGTCTTTGTAAGCTATGTAGTGCTCATTCATGTCAAGTGACATTGTATTTCCCCAATCACAAAGTTGGAACTTCATTTTCTAATGCTTGCACCGCATCATTACATGTCTCATTCCATTGCAACATCAATATGTTTGACTATTTAACATTTTCTTTATTTTTAGGATTGACAGTGCTACTCTCTTGACCTCCATAGTGCTCGTGAGTTTATATATAGGATGCTTGTTTAGATTTTTTTTATTCTCTTTAAGTTTTATATATTTTTTTATTTATTCATCTCTATACAAAATGACCTAAAAAAAAAAATGAAAAAAGATTTCTTCATAATCCTATGATAAGAGCACATTCATTTATGCTAAGGCTGAGCAAAGGTATGGGACAATAGTGGTATCCAAGAAATTGATCCTTGAGAGAGGCTTCCAAAACTTGAGAGGCAAAGTTATGCAAATGATTGTAAATTTGAGTTGGGAGCGGTTTTGTAAGGAATCCCATGCAATATTTCTATTCAACTTTAGCCCAGCAAAAATATTAGTGAGGCAATCAAGGACCGTGCTATTCTTAGTTATGTTGTTTAGGTTGGGTACACCATTTATGTGGGAAAGCTTATACATTCTTCCTTCATATACATTATTAGGGGAACTACTTCTGTGGGCTTGGGTTATCCTTCATTTATCTATACTTTATGTATAAATACTAGTATGAGGGGAGATAACAGTGAAGAGCAATTTTTTCTTATTTCAACCCTCGCTAAAAGAAAAATTGAAATTAAGAGCTTTAAAATATTAGGTGTATAGAAGTGGTCCAAGTGAGCCTCATTTGACTAATAGGCTTAGTATTAGAAGTACAAGGAAATATAGGACCCCTCAATCTTTAGTTGGGAAAGTGGCTAATTAAGGGAGAAGATGGAGGAATTGACTAAATTTTATGAGTGTAGGGAATTGCATGCACACTTCTCAGGTATCCAAGAAAAATATTACATCTCTATAGAAAAATTCAATGAGGCTTTAGTGGGGATGTTCAAGAGGAGTCTTTTTGTAGAGAATCCAGACCAGCTACATTTTCTTATTGCTCCAGAATACCACTCATATGTATGAACCTAGCTTGATGATTATGATGATGATTATAATGAGAAGGAGGAGGAGGAGGATAGTGACTCTAAGTGATGAGAGTCATTTATTTTTTCTTTTGTTGATTATTCATGGCATGCATTGATATATATATATATATATATATAGCTTTTTTTAATTATTTTTTAGTTCTTTTGCTTGGTGGTGATCCCATGATGTTGTGATTTGATGTTGTGAGAGTGATATTGTGTTGTGTCCATATGAGCCATTATTATTATTCTGATAAGAACATATCTTGTGGATCTTGGATAGAGATGGATTCATAGAATAGTGCTTCATGCACTGATTATCTTAAATTATTTATATAATTTTATTGCTGTGACTGTGAGCTAATTTTTATTCAAATTAAAAGACATGTCTATTTCATATTCAATTTTTACTTATTTTTGTGCAATGTGTTTTATTTTTCATATTTAATTTAAACTCTTTTATACTTAACTGTTGAGTATTGTTCTCTATATAATACTTACACTTTGATTACTTATTTAGCCATAACAAAATGATAATTAAAAAATATGTAAAATTAACATAATAATAAATCCCTAAATGAAAGTTTGAATGACTATGGAATTAGATACATTATTAAATCCTTAGATTAAATCAATTAAGGGTAGGAGGATGAAAGTGAAAATTTTATTCAAAATTATTAAATATGTATTCCACAAGTATGAAAAAATTAAAAAATATGAGAAATCATAAAAGAAATTATGAAAAATGACAAAAAAAAAATGATGAGTGCATTAGAGAATTAGTATAAGTTAAAGCCCATGTCCAAAAGCTTCCTAATAATTAAACCAAGTAGGATAAGATAAGTGAAATAATACATATGATTGTGCACTAATTAACTTTCAATT